AAATTGGTTAGATGGAAGAAAGCAGAAAGTTGTTATAAATGGAGTACAGTCAAATGATTAATGTCACAACTAGGGTACCTTACTGCTCAGTGTTAGGACCTTTGCTTATTTTGATTTACATCAATGGCTTGGAAGAAGAAATGGTCAACAGATTATTTAAATTTACTGATGACATTAAAGATTTGGGTGTTGCTGGCTGTGAAAAGGATGCCGTGCTTTACAAAAGGATTTGGATTATTTGGTAATAAGAGCAAATAAATGTCAAATGGCTTTTAATTATAATAAATGCAAGATAATGATTTGGGATATGAAAAGTTAAATTATGAGCATAATTTTGATGGGAATAACCTTAACAGTGTTATGGAAGAAAAATGTCTTGGTGTTCTGGCCAATCAGTTTCTTAAGCCATCCAAGTAATGTGCTGTTTCTAGTGGCAGGCCATATAGAATTTTAGGTTGTAGCTACAGAAATATTAAATACAAGTCTAAAGTGATTATAATGTTATTATATAAGTAATTTGCTAGATCACATTTGAAGTACTGGAATCCTTACCTTAGAAAGGACATATAATTGTTGGAAAAGGTTCAGAGGAGGGCTAAAGGATGATACCTTGGATGGAAAGGTTGTCATGAAAAGACAGGTAAAGATCTTTTAACTTGTCTTCTCTTGAAAGAAGAGTAAGAAGGCATCTGATTGAGGTGTTTAAGACTGTTAAGAGAATCAGTAGTGTTGATGTACTTTTCCCTTAAACCCTTAAATTAACTGCTGCATCCAGCACATCTGAATGCAATCTTTCAAAGGCCAACCACCCTGAAAAATAAAGTTGTCTTTGCTGAAGATGACTTCTTCTCTACCATAAATTATATTTATATTCCCTAGACTTACCATTCTCACTGTTAAATACAAACAAAAGTGATTGATAAAAATGTGAATGAAAAGGGCTAGCTTTGAGTTTTTTAGTGTTATTCAGTGGATAGACTGGTGGCACATGTGATGTGATTATCCTTACAAAAATACATTCATAGCCTCAATGAAGGGACAATCAGGAGAGTTAGAGGCTCCCAATAACCTCAACTATCTTGTGGGTTAGACACCAGGTTAAATTGTATGGGAATAAAAACCCTTATAAGAAAGCCACTGCCAAAATGCCTTGCCTGCACATTAGTGGTAGGCAAAATCCTTATTATTATCATGAATACAATGGAAGGCTGTAATGCTCAAGACCATGGGAGAAAGTCAAGTCCAAATTCAGAGAAAAGAATATCTTTTTGATGTTCTAAGATTAAACCCTGTGGGGAGTCATGGGATCAACAGAAGTACAGGCAAAACCAAAACACTGAGAGAGAGAGACAACAAAAATCAAGATACAAGGTAATGATGGAAGACTTCAATGCTACAACTGTACTGAATGAACCAGTAGAGGCCATTTACATGCATTGAGCTCATTTGTCATGGGAGAAAGAAATGAAAGAGGTAACAATTCTGTAATTTGCCATAGAAGCAAATCTAATTATTGTGATCACCTTGTTCAAGAAAGCAAAAACTAGATACTGGAAATTGGAGGATTCTAATGCCTCAACCAAGAATCAAATAGACTTCGTATTAACAAACCAAAGAGGTATCATGAAGTTATGACAAAATTGGATGTTGAAAACCACAGAAAGGTAACAGTAAAAACTAGCATATATAAAAAAATTAGCCAGATTTTAGACAATACAAAGAATGAAAGTACTAATAATCAACAAACTAGTGTTGAAAGAACAAATATGAAGCACTTAGAAGAAAACAACTGAAAACAGATGTGAAGAACTCAATAACATCACCTTGGAAAAGTGGAAAAGGTATCAAACTAGTCAAAAAAGATAAATACACACAAAACATTTCACTCTCACAATAAAACAGGAAGATAAAAAGACCTAACAAAAGAAGTAATTGAGTAAGTAAGTCATTATTAGAGAAAAGGAAGTAGATTGAATTAATTAAGATGGTTAGTAAGAAAAGAAAATTTGGAGAAAGGAGGAAGAGGAAAGAAAACATAAAGGCTATAATAGAGAGAGAGAGGTCAGGGGTTTAAAGAAATATACAAAAAACAGAAGGAAACCAAAAATAAATACAATGAGATACAAGAATGGAGAAATAAGAAAAATGGCAGATTAGAAATTTTGGAAATAGGTGCAGAATTCTATAAAGAACTTTATGGCAAAACAAACAAAAAGGAAACACAGAAGAGAAATACAAGCCTAAGTAACACAGAAGTACCACCAATCAGCAGTGGAGTAGTGGAAAATATCATGAAGCAAATGAAAAAGAACAAGGCACCTGGAAATGGTCAAATAACAGTGGACATACTTAACCTGAAGCATTAAAAGTATTAACTATGCTTTCCAATGAAATTCTGAAAATAATGGGAATTCCCAAAAAATGGATGGAAGTCAAGATCAAAGGAGAGAAGAGATATTATAAATTACAGACAAATTAGCCTTCTATCAAACCAGTTTAAGATTTTTATGAGAATACTACAGAACAGAATGGAAAAAGCGCGTAAAGAGAATTAACCCAGAGAATAGGCAGGTTTCAAAAAAGAATATTTCAACATTAGACCATTTACAAGTAATAAACCAAATAACAGAAAAAAAAATGACTGCAACCTCTTATGGTGTCAAAAGCTTTCTCACAATCAAGAAAGCTAATGTAAAGGAACATTCAGAAATATTCAGTGCACTATGAAACATATATTAATATACTAAAAGACAAACATAATATTTAAATAGCTTTAACACACCTTGATAATGAAATATCATTAGGAATCAAGATAATGCAAGCCATTCAACAGTGAGACTTAATAGCACCCAAGCTCTACACTGTCATCTTAGAAAAATATTCAAAAATACAGAATTGGAAAATGATGAAATTAAACTAGACAGAGAAATGTTATCCAATCTGAGATATCAGATGATGATGTACTTTGTATGGACTCTGTGTCAAAAATGGAAAATCAACTGGGATTTTCCATTTTTGACACAGAGTCCATACAAAGTACATCATCATCTGATATCTCAAACTGAATAAACAGTTCCTTGATAGCAAGAGAAAGGGACAACTGGATTAAAACTTTACAGAAAGCTATTGTATCCTGACAGATATTGTGAGATGGCAAATTCTACTTTTCTTTTGTTATGGTTTTATTTACCATTCATTTATTATTCCTTCTATCATTTAGTTAAACTGTGAATTTTTAGTTATATTAAAGCGTTAACTCACTTTATAGCTAGAGCATGTTGATTTGAGTATGTTTGTATTATGAAACTGACACTAGCTTCCCCAAGCAGTTACGTACATATATTAATATTGTGAAATATTATGTAAATTAACTAGTCACATGAGATGCAACTTTGTGATCTAACCACTAAATAAAAACCTTTCCCTGATCTTAAACAAGTTAGTTCATGAGAAATAGTTAGAATGAATTATTGCTGATTGTTTCTCGATATTGTTATTAATTTTGAAGTGGTTTAATTTTGAAATATTGAGTTTTTTCTTTTTTTCTAATTATTTTATATATTGAAATTAATAACATTAATATTTATATTCTATTGTTTATTAACATTTGTATGAAGTCCTGCACAGGTACAAATTTACTGACTGTAAGTGATAAAAGTTTTATTTTGGATTTCTATTGTTGTTGTTGTTACAGTTTAATAAATTATTTATTATTTGGCCCTGGTTGTAGCAGCATTTTGAGTTAGTCTGTTACAATATCTATACTTATTTAACCACTCTCTCTGTATTCAAAATGAAATTGTGAACTGCTTCTTCCCCTCCACAAACAAACTAGAATTTCTATGTACATTTAAAGAAAACCAGTACACTCTGATCAATATCTACACTTCACATTTAACCAAAATCCCCCCGTTAAAAGTGGAATCAGGAACAGTCTTTTTTTCTCCATGAAAAAAGTTAAAACTTTAATACATATTTACTGTAAACTATTATATTCTGACCAAAACCCACAATTCACACACTCTCTTTGTTAAAAGTGAAATTGTGAACTCTCTATTCTACACCAAAAGGACTAGAATTATACTGCATATTTTTATAGGAAACCATTGTACTCTGCAGATATCTACACTTTACAGGTAATCATAAAGTTTTTGTTAAACATGAAATCATGATCTCTCTTTTTCAATTTAACAAAAACAATCAGTAATAAAAGTCAACTTCAAAAAAGAAAAGATCAACTTGACAAAGTCCTTCAATGCAAAGGATATTCTTGCTTTTCATCCATACCTTGTGAAATATGGTTCTACTTTACCAAAACCTCAAACACCTTCATTTTTTGAAAATCAAATTACACATTTAGATAAATATGTAAAAAGTGTAACATCTAGATGTACATCTACTCAACTGCCACGGTATTATTGAAGATACAGAGTGCCAAAGTAGAGAATTTTCATAGCTAGTTGGTCATGTGACAATACATCTGAAGTTTGAAGTAGTTTTTAAAGGTTGCTTTTGAAATAAAGGACTTAAACTTAGATAACGTAAAACTTTGGATCATAACATACATTATCGTGTTAATTGCATTCAGATATATTGATAGTAAAGGTGTTTAAATCAATTTTGAATGTAACCCAGTGACTTGCACAGAAAAGTGTTTAAAGGGGTACCTGTTGCGAAGGGGGTTAAAGATGTTTAGATATATCTTCACACAATACCCAGTTATATCTTCTTAACTTGTGTTCTTAGTAATATGGGTTGATGAATGCTGAAAAGCTCCATTTAATTACTAAAGATGTATCGTTATGTTCAACAGTATCGTGTCAGCAAAAACTTAGTTTTAACACTAATACTTCTTTGTTTAAAATTCTCTTCTATAATAAATGCTGTCCAAATTTAGGTTTAACAAAGCAAAACTGGTCTTTATTTCAAAATTGAAAGATAAAACATTTTTTTAGTTGTTTATCAATGCAACAACCAATAGGTATAAAAAATAAAATTACCTGTTCTGTACTGTATACTTTGTTCTTGTTATCTGTAAGGTAAAAAAAATAATAACAGTAAAATCTTTTGAAGAATACATTTCAAATGTGAAATAAAATGTATTGCAACTTTATTATCAAAAAACTATTTTTAGTGAAATGTAAAAAGGGGGTACATGACAATATCAGCTATCCCACATCTAAACACACAAAAAGCTTCTTAAAATAATATTCTTCATTATTAAAGTAACTGAACTCATGAAAAAGGTGTAGGTTCGAAACTGCAATTCTCATATTGCCAAGATGCAGAAATTATTTAATATCAGTAACAATGACTTATACTGCAATGTTTCTCACATCAGTATACTAACTAAACACACAAAAATGTCTAGCTATTGATTGCTGATACTATTGGTTTAGGAAAGGGTTTTTTACATTATTTCAGAGAAGTAATAGTATTACAAAGTAACTTATAAAATAACTGTATACTGTTGTAGTATAGTTTTATATATACACATACTTTATGCTCCTTCAGACTACATTTGGTTACTAATGTGCCCTTATGTTTCCACAAGAGGGCTTCTCAGATTTCATGGTACTTGGTTACTAATGTGCCCTTGTGTTTCCACAAGAGGGCTTCTCAGATTTCATGGTAAGTATGTGGTTACTAATGTGCAATTATGTTTCCACAAGAGGGCTTCTCAGATTTCATGGTAAGTATTTGGTTACTAATGTGCAATTATGTTTCAACAAGAGATCTTCTCTATTTCATGGTACAGATTTTATTAATATAATCTTATGTCTCCACAAGAGGGCTTCTCAGATTTCATGGTAAGTATGTGGTTACTAATGTGCCCTTATGTTTCCACAAGAAGGCTGCTCAGATTTTATGGTAAGTATTTGGTTACTAATGTGCCCTTATGTTTCCACAAGAGGGCTTCTCAGATTTCATGGTAAGTATTTGGTT